ATATGGAGACAAAGTGAGGGACAGAAACTGAAGGGGGGGCCGTTTCAAGACCACTCCACCTGAGTATCTATCCCATGTGCAATCACCAAAGGTAGAGGCTGATGTGGAAGTCAGGAAGTGCATGCTGATAAGAGCCTGATATGGATGTCTCCTCAGAGGTCTTCAAGAGTCTGACATACTCAGAGGCAGATGCTCACAACTAGCCATTGAACTGATCATGGGGCTCTCAATAGAGGAGTTAGAGTGAAGACTGAAGGAGAGCTGAAAGGATTTGCGGCACCATGAGGAGAGCAACAATACCAACCAACCACAGCTCCCAGGGTCTAAACCACCAGCCTGGGAGCACTTAGGGAGGGATCCAGCGCTTCAGTTGAATATGTAAGAGTGGAGGGCCCTGCTGGGCATAGGTGGAAGAAGAGAACCTTGACCGCATGAAGGCTGGATGTCCCAGGGTGTGGGAATTTTGAGGGTGGGGAGGTGGGAGTGGGGGGGTAGATAGAGGTTACATCCACAGAGAAGAAGGAGGAGGGGTGAGGGGATTGGGGGTTCCTGGGTGGGTGGGGGATGGGGTAAGGGGACAACATAGGAAATGTAAATAAAACATCCAATAAAAAAAATATATAAAAAAAGAGCCTCAAGTAATAAACACCATCTAGCAATAACTCAAATCAAGCAAGTGAAAGACTTATTGATAAGAACTTCAAAACATTCAACAAAGAAACTGAAGAATGTATCAGAATATTGGATGATTGACTTTGTTCCTGGTTATACAGGATTAGTGTAGTAAAAATGGCCATGCTACTAAAATAAATTTACAGATTCAATGCAATTCCCTTCAAAATTCCAACACAGATGTTGAAGGCAGAATTTTCAGCTTCATATGGAGACCCACACACAAAAAAACAAGGATAGTTAAAACAATCTTGAATAAAAGAAATGCAGGAGGTATCACCATTGCCAATTTCAAGATTCACCACAGAGATATGGTAACAAAAACTGCATTTAATTGGCAAATAAACAGAAACACTGAACAGTGGAATCAAATTGAAGACCCAGACATAAATTCCTGTATCTACTGATACCTGCTTTTTGATAAAGAGGCCAGAAATACAAAGCAGAATAAAGAAAGTATCTTCAACAAATGGTATTTGTCAAACTGGATAGCTACATGTAGAAGAATCCAAAAAGATCAATACCCTGTAGATCATTACCCTGTAGATCTAAGACTTGAACATAAAGCCAGATACACTGATCAGGATAGAAGAGAACGTGGGGAATAGATCTGAATCCACTGACACAGGAAGAGTTTCTGAACAGGCTCTAAGATCAACAGTTAATGGGATCTCAAGAAAGTGAGAAGCTTCTACATGACAAAGGACACTGTCATTTGGAAAAAGTGGCATCCTACAGAATGGAAAAAGGTTTTCACCAACTACATATCTGATATAGGGCTAACAGCCAAAACATATAAAGAACTCAAAAAACTAGAGATCAAGAAACTAAATAGGTGATTTAGAAAAACAGGGTACAGATCTAAACTAAGAACTCTCAATAGAGGAAACTCAAACGGCTGGGAAACACTTAGATAACTGTTAAATATCCTAAGTTTTCAGGCAAATGAAAATCAAAACTACTTTGAGATTTGATCTCACACCTGTCACAATGGATAAGATATCACAAAGGTGTTAGCTCATGCTGGCGAGGATGTGGAGCAAGGGAAGCACTTCTCTATGACCGATGGGAATGCAAATGTGTACAGCTGCTATGGAAATCAGTACGGTGGATCACAAGAAGATGGGAGTCTAGCTACCATAAGAGTCAGCTACACCACTCTTGAGCATACACTTAAAAGATACTTTATCCTCTCACAGAGACAGCTATTCAACCATGTTCATTGCTACTCTATTCATAATAACTAAAAATTTTAAACCATCTAGATGTCCTTCAACAGAAGAATGGATAAGGTAAACGCAGTACATTTATACAATGGAGAACCACTCAGCTGTTAAAAAAAAGACATCATGAAATTTGCAGATAAATAGATGGCACTAGAAAAATAAACCTGCACAGGACCAAGGGCCTCCGCTCCCATTGATATCAGACAAGACCATCCTCTGCTACATATGTATCTGAAGCCACGGATCCCTCCATGAACACTCCTTGGTTGGTGGTCTATTCCCTGGGAGAGGTAACTAGGAAGGGGAATATAATTTAAGATGTATATGAATGGAATTATTAATTAAAAAAAAAGAAAGAAAAATAAAGCTGACTGAGGTATCCAGAACCAGAGGTTAGGTATAATGTAAGGGATTAAAGGACACAGGTAGATCTTGTAAGGTATGAGAGACAGAATTGATAGTTAGGAATGGGTGGAGGAGACTGAAATGGGATGATTAAGTGGGAACAGAAAGGAGTAAAAGGGATGAGGGATAGAATACAGGGAAAGTCAACTAAAATTAACAGCCATTTGAGAGGTAGTATGGAAAGCTAATACAGTAGAAACTTCTAAAATAGGTGCATATATAAAGGTGTTCTTGATGAAATTGCCAAATAATCAGGAAAATAGAGTCCCAACTGGCTATCTCTTGTGACAAAATGAAGCTTTAGGAACTGAGACCGGATTACATCTAATTGAGTTGCAAGGCCAAAGGGGTTCCAAGGAAATTCCCGAACAACCCAGGCTGTTGTCAAGACTATAGGATGCTCTACACAAACTGAAAGCAAATCCCTATTGCTGAAGACTATTCAATCGTGGAGAAGTTTTCCTGGCGCCTATAGAGACTATCCCTATGATCTAGTGTCTTTGGTTCAGGAAGGTATTCTGTACACTAACTACCCTGCCAAAAGAGAAACTCTACGTTAGCTATAAATCCTTTGATTGACAATGGTGTCTTGATGGGAAAATACGCTAGGCAATGGTGGCACAAGGTTTGTGGAAGTAAGCAAATACTGTCTGATTTGACTTAAGTTCCACTCCATGAGATGAAATCTATACCAGACACTGCTTGGGTGAACAAGAACCAGAGACTAGATAGTCAAGGGACCTATGGGAAAACCAAATATTATACTTTAAAGAGGGGGGAAGGGTAATAACTCCTATAGACATTCTGCTATACTTGTAGCTCAGCCCCTGATCAGTCATCTTTAGAGAAGCTTCTTCCTGCAGCAGAGGGGAATAAATATAGAGACCTAAAGTGAGATATCATGCAGAGAATGAGAGCTCTTGAACACATAGTTCTAAATGGGATGTCTCCTTGTACTCAGAATTCAGAGAAGGAAGAGGAGGAAGAGGAAGAGGACGAGGAAAAGGAGGAAAGAGCATAAGAGACAGCAGAGGATACAGGACACTAGGAGAACAAGGTCCTCTAAATCAACATGATCAAAGCTCATACATACTTGCAGAGACTGAAGTAGCATGCACAGGACCTGCATGGATCTATACTAGGTCTATGTATATATTATGGCTTCCACCTTAGTGTTTTATGGGATTCCTGAGTGTGTGAATGAGTGGGTCTCTGATTCTTGTCCCTTTTCTTGGGGTCTTTTGCTTCTATTTCTTTGCTTTGTCCAACTCCAATGTGTTAGTTTTTGTTTTGTTTTATTTTAATTATGCTTTAGAAGCCCTGTTTGTTTTCTCATGAGAGACAGAAAGGGAGCAGATCTGGATGCGAACCTGGGAGAAGTCATGGAAGGAAGACAGTAACAGGATATATTATGTGAGAAAAACAAAACAAAACAATTTTCAATTAAAAAAACTGTAATCTTAAAGTTCAGCTAAAAGCAATGAATAATACCTTAAAAAATTAGGTGACTTTAGTATCTTCTCTGAGATTAAAAACAAGACAAAAGAAACAAAAACATGTTTCTTTCCTTCCACCAGGTAAACATTCTTTGTAGTTCTTATCTCACCAGAATACATAATAACCATCCTTCGGTTTTCTCTCAATGAATGGAAATCCTTTAAAGAAACTGTTTGTCATTGTATTGGTTCCTCCATAATACAAAGTAAACTATCTACAGAGTAAACAAAGAGAAAATGGTAAAAGTGTGACAATAAACCTAACCAACAAACAAAGAAAAATCCACTACAATTTAAAATGAGAAACAAATATGCAGGTAGCTAACCAACAAAGAATGTCTTAAAAGATCTATATGTGTATTGGGAAAAACATCTAAAAAAACACACCTCAATATAAAAAAAATAGGGTGATGGATAAAATCATATCATCTGCAAATAAAGCTACTTGACTTCCTTCTATTTGTACCTCTTGATCTCCTTCAGTTGCCATATTACTCTAGCTAAGACTTCAGGTACTATACTCATCAGGTGTAGAGAGTGCACAGCCATGTCTTGTCTTGTTCCTGATTTTAGGAGAAATGTTTTGAGTTTCTCTCTATTTAGGTTGATACTGGCTATATAGACTTTCTGTAAGTTCCTTGTATCCCTAGTCTCTCCAGGACTGATTTTGCATTTTGTCAAAGGCCTTTTCTGCATCGAATGAAATAATCATGTGTTTGCTGCTCTTTAGTGTCTTTATGTGAATTATGCTTATTGATTTACAATGTTGACCCAGCCCTGAATCTCTGGGGTGAAGCTGACTTGATCATGCCACATAATCTTTTTGATGTGTTCTTCATTTTGGTTTTTAAGTATTTTATTGAGAATGTTTACATCTATCTTTATAAGGAACATTAGTTTAAAACTGTCTTTTTAAATTGGGTCTTTTGGTGTCAATGTAACTGTGGTTCTGTGAAGGAATTTAGAAGTGCTCCTTCATTTTCTCCTATGTTGAGTAGCTTGGAGTACCGGTGTTAGTACTCCTTATAGATCTGATAGGGGAGGCATGGAAACTGTTTTGTACACTGCACAGTAACTATCCATGAGACTAGCTCTCTGATAAGCTAGGTTTGGTGAACATTGGTGCAAAGAGACCAATCAGCATAACTAATACATGCTGAGTTCTGCTCTGCCCTCCCTAGGACAGTGCATACTAACTGACCTGGGAGGGTCCAGAGTGAGGCTTCTGAGCCATTCCATGGCTCAAATCCATGTTGTAACTTGATGTTCAATTCTGGTCTGGTCATGCAGTAGCCTGTAAAAAGGAAATGAGGTAGTTGATCCAAATGTGCCAAGTCAAGTCCAGTGATAAAAGACAGCAGTTCTACTTCAGGAACTCTGCTAAAATGGGTGGTTTTGAAACTCTTTGGAGACAAGATTTATATTCACATTCTTTACTGAATTGGATATTATTTTCAAACCACATTAAGCTGCACGATAGCATAAAATAATGACTGTTCTTAAACTTAAGCAAACAGAATAGAAAAATAAAAGATAACACAATGAAATTTAAAACCACACATATTTAAGGCCACTGAATAAAATGAGGTCATCAAAACAACTAAGCAAAACAAAAAAACAAACCCAAATAAAACAATAAAAACAACCAGAAAACCCAGAAAGTTTGCAAGGGAACTAGCTCAACTAATGAAGTAAGTAAAATATCAAGATGCCCACACAATTGGAAGTGTTAACCAATTAACTACCTAGATATAAGTTGTTACCCAGGGTTGCTCTCGATACATGGGTGGCTCTCCATGGCTCCTACATCTCTGTCCTCTCTCTTAGCTCCTCCTCTTCCTTCTCCTTCCAACTCCTCACTCTACCTACCTCTCATACAGCCCAATTGCTGAGCTTTATAGGAATGTAGTGTGAGGATATCCCACTGTAACTTCTCCTCCTAACTTCTCTACATCCACCCCCCTCTCCTCTCCTCTCCTCTCCTCTCCTCTCCTCTCCTCTCCCCTCCCCTCCCCTCCCCTCCCCTCCCCTCCCCTCCTCCCCTCCTCTCGTCCCCATCTCTGACCCATTGCCTGTAATGTGTGGTGCCTATATACTAATGGGTGTCTGTGGGGCCATCACTATAGCAGGTCAACCTATCAGAAGCCACAGCCCTAAAGATAACTAACTGAACTTCCTCAACAGCCATAATTGTCAATAGTTTCTTAGCTTGGAGTTGGGGCTCATGTACCCTCCCTACCCAAATCCCATGCTAGAATGCTGACTGATTTACCTGGTGAAAATTTTGTATAAGCAACCCTAGCCACTGTGAGTTTCTCAGTGGAACAGCTAAGATTTCAGTGAGGACCACCCCCGCACACACATACACACACTCTGCCCAACTTCATGTGACATAAAGAGGTAAGAACTAACTAGGGTTGAGGGTTGGGGTGATATAACTGTCTCAAAACCACCTTTGTACTCCAAGGGATGTTAAAAAGCTTGGTTCTTTACCAAATGGAATGAATGGAATCTCTCTTTGGGCTAGTGAGGCATTGTACATTTGAGGGTATAGGAATGGCATGCATAGGCTCATATTTGAATGTTTGGTCTAAATTTGGAAGGACTAGGAGGTGTGGCCTTGTTGGAAGAGGTGTGTCACATGGGGCAGACTTTGAGGTTTCAAAGGATTGCTGTCATTCTCAGTGTGCCTCTCTGCCACCCATTTGTAGTTTGAGATGGCAGTTCATAGCTGTTTCTGCTGCCATGCCTTTGTTCCCCTGTCATGTGCTGTAACCCTCCAAAATCATAAACTCAAGTAAACACTTTCCTTTAGAATTTGTTTTTGGTCATATGTTTTATCACAGCAATAGAAACTGTAAAAGTAAGATGGGGCAAATAGATACTTCTTTTAAACACCCTAAGAACATGACAAGACATGAAAAAAATGTCAGGAAAAACAATATAAAATCATGCATCTGCTAGCTAAACTTGATCTCAAATAAGAGACTAAGTCTCTACAAAATGTACTTGAGCAACGAAACAGGGAGATGGTTATAAGTGGAGAAGCATCTTCAGGCCCTGTCTGATCCATAAAGCCAACCACATTCCAGTCTGGCTCTAGGTAAAACTTGGCAAAACCAGCTTACCATGACAGGCATCTGATGACATTCCCATCACCCATAATGCACTTACTGACCTGGAAGGTTCCAGACTGAGGTATCTGCTACTCTCCATGGCCCAAATTCACGTTCCAACATGAGGATCAACTCAGGTTTGGTCATGCAGCAGCCTGTAAATGAGAAATCTTGAACAGTTTCTGATAATGTGCAGTCAAGTTCCCTGATAACAGATGCCCTTCCATAGGAGGAACTGTGCTATCATGGGCAAGTCAGAGTCTTTTGTTAGAAAGTATTTACAACCACCTCCTTCACAGACTTGAATATTACCCTAGTGTGGCATTAAACTACAAGATACATAACCCCAAACTGCATGAATATGTAAATAAGCAGAAGAGAGTATGAAAGCAAATTCAATGAAACTAGAAAAGTAATGCATGATTATTTAAGAATAAATTAGAAAAGAGCAGGAAGTCATGAAAAAAAGAGCTGGAAACAAAATTAGGAGGAGAACGCTGAGGCTGGAGAGATGGTGCAATGGAGGAAAAAAAAATCTACATGGTTCCCTGGACAAGGAAGCTAGCTCAGAAGGAGCACTCATCACTCCAGTGGATGGGTGGGGCCATTATCAAGTAGACAATGTCACCAGTGGTTCCTGATGTCATGACTTCTGTGCCATAATGGACTGTACCCTGGAATTGTGAGCCACAACCAATTACTTCCTCCTAAAGCTGTTTGGCCGGGGTATAACAACAACAACAACAAAAATAACCAATATACATGGTGTGACGAACAAACTCAGGTAAACCATCGAGCCTTTTTTTGATTTCTTGGGGGTTTTCTTTGAGACAGGGTTTCTCTGTGTAGCCTTGCCTGTCCTGAAACGTTCTCTGTAGATGGTGACTACAGAGCAACTATCTTGTGTCTGTATGGATGTGGCATCTGTCCATAATAAATCTTATGGCCTATACCGTAGGCAAAAAACAGAAGGTGGAACATCCAGGAGGCAGAAAGGATTTTAGGATAGTGCCAGGCATAGGAGATGTGCCCCGGGAGATATGATGAGACAGATACATGGTATCTGAGCATAGGTACCCAGCCATGTGGCAGAATGTAGATTAGAATAAATGGGTTATGATCTGGTCAGAGAAGAGCCTAACTATATAGCCAAGGTACTTGTAAATATATTTTGAATCTGAGTCTTATTTCTGGGAACACGGGGATAGTAGACTAGGCTGGCCTTGAATTTATAGCAATCCATCTGCCTCTGCTGGGATTAAAGGTATGTATTACTTCTGCCTTGCCCCAGCTGGGTTCTTTATCACCACTAAACTCAATTCTTTGCAATGCTGGAAGTTACAGAGTATTTCTTTGGTCATTGATTCCCTCTGTATCTGTAGTGAACAGATCTTTTGCATCTCCCTAGGAAAGCCACAATACAAAAGTGAGCTATGTCAGAAAAAGAAAAATGCTATATTTTCTAGTTACAGTCAAAAGCTAAAGGCAGTTTCAAAGAAATAATGGGGAATAAACAGTGGTTATTACAGTGTGGAAAAGGTATGGGGATTGGTAGGAGAGAATGTATAACATTTACTGGGGTAGATGTGGGTAGAAATTAATAACTTATGGTTCTGTAATATGAAATTAATAAATAGTGGGCAACAACTAATTGAATATTTCAAAATAGCTGAATGATTTTAAATTTTCCTATCTTAAACAAGTAGAATACGGCTAAGTGATTACTGTTCTGATTAGCTGATCTTCTGAGTATACAATATCATCTGATTTGTTTAAGTATGTTACAAAGCCACACCGTACTCCAGAAATGTATGCCATTATCACACATCAGCTCAAAGATACAATGTAAATTCAGGTTGAAAGTTCCTCTACTTATCAACAGAAAACAACTGCTACTGAGCACTACAGGGAGTTACTCACCCAAGGACACCAGGCTACTGTAGTTCTCCAGCATCACATCCCTGTAGAGCAACTTCTGAGCAATGTCTAGGTCCTGCCACTCCTCCCAGGTGAAGTACACAGCAATGTCCTCAAATGACACTGACTCCTGGAATGACAATGCTTCTTATCAACCCAAGTCCTCAGACTTGGGAATAAAAACTGGAATTTGTTCTTTTCTGTGTAGGAGTGACTTGCTAGTGCCTTATGTAGCTGCAGCTTGGTATGTATTCTTTATCATCAAAGAAAGCAGCATCAGTACAAATATCCCTTTTTGTTAATGTGGATTCACAAAAATATAATGAAACAAAATCTACAGTGTATCGATAACACATTAAGGAATGAAAATACAGATTCCTTCTTATATTAAACTGACCAAGAGAGAGCCCAAATTTGAACTTTTCATTTCTTATCCTGTGTTGTCCTTCTGTCCCTAACAAAGAGTTTCACTGTGTCTTCATTAAATAGCACAGAAAACATGGTGTGGAAAGTAATGAGGGGTCTTTACAGAAAATTTTAAGGGCTGGAGAGATGGCTCAATGGTTAAGAGCACTGACTGCTCCTACAGAGGTCCCAGTAACCACATGGTGGCTTACAACTATCTGTAATGGGAACTGATAACTTCTCCTGGTGTGTCTGAAGACAGCTTCAGTGTACTCATATACATAAAATAAATAAACCTTAAAAAAAAACAAAGAAAAAATTTAAGAGTTTTGCATGGTAAGAAGTTACTTTACTGCTCCCTACTGACCCAGAATAGCAAATATAACTACAAACAGATGTTAGCAAACCATATCCACATGTTACTTCCAACAATTTTGGTGAGTATTTGTTGCTTTCAACCTCTTGGGTAATTTCAGCAAATAATCAACATAACACATACATATAATACTCTGGGTCAGGGGCATGGAATAGTTTATAATTTAAGATTAAAGCCATGCATTTAGTTTAGGTCTGAAAAGCTGACTACATGGGAAACCCAAGGCACAGTAAGACTGCTTACATTGTTCTCTTAAAGGCACAGTAGACTCTATGAGTACACAGCAGGATAGCAGGTTAAGTAATTGTCTTAAATTTTCTCAAAGTATACTATTAGCTTGGCTGTCAAATCCAAAAAAACTTCAATTATCTTTGTAGTCAAGAGACACTTCAGAAAAGTGTGTCAGTACATATAGAATACATATGTATACAAGGTTTGTTTTACTAGCAAGAGAAAAGCATACATAGACTCAATCATGTAAAGGTGAAATCTGAGAAGAATAACTAAGCCTGTGAAAAGGCAGATGTCACGGTTGGTGGTGCAGTGCAATGGTACACAGCAGGTCTGGATGGAGCAAGAACATGGATCCAATTCCCAGAAATCATAGAATACAGAATACATCCTATTCCTCATACACGAGTATTCTGAATACACGAGTCAGAAATGAATGGGCAACAGTAATACCCAATGACTTAAAAATAACTCAAAATCAAATCCATAATGCATCCAGGTGTTTCTGGCCGCGTTCATCTATGCTACATTTGGTACTTCATTGCAACCTGCCTTCTGCTCACACTGTACTTGGCACTGTGTATGCCATACACATGCCACTCCAACAGAAATACCTTAGTTCAGACTTGAGACTAGCATATGTTAGAAACTATAGTTTTTTTTTAACTATAGTTTTCTGCTCTTATAGAAGCATGATGACTTAATTATTAAAGGAAAGACTTTTACTAGTTGTTGCCATTATTCCTCAACTTGTTGGAATCAGTTCTTTCCATCCATCATGTGACCATCCAGGGATGCAGTTCACACTGTCACACTTGACATGCCTTTACTAACAGAACCATCTCCCTAGCCAGAAAATTCTTAAGGAGTAGAAATTCAAGTCTCTCCTTTCCTCTGAAAATAATTCCAAATGAGTTCTAAAGGCCTTATAAGGTTTCTTGTTTTCATGATTCTGTGGAGCCGAACACTGCAAATGCAGTTAGAATTCTTTGCTATCGTCAGTTCCCTTAATATCCAGATTGTATTCATCTTCTCTATGTGGCCTAACATCAACTATCAGCTTAAAACTTGGGAATGTATCGGTAGAGCAGGCCACTAGCTTCTTCCAAGCCAGCAGATAATCTCTCATATCTGCAACAGCTTCCTCTGTATGGCTGTGACCAATCCAGCCGGATGTGTCCACGAGTGTCTTTGATAAATGCCTTGATTCTGTTCCTCACTACAAAACCTCATGTAACCACATCCACGTAGGAACATGTCATTTAGGGCAACTTAAATACATGCTACTGAACAGGGTGACTCATATCTGTCCCAGAATAAACTCTCTCTAATCCTTTTGAGGTGAGACCAGTGTTTTCTACAGACAAGAGAAATAAGTAAACCATTTACCTTAATTTTCAAATTTTACTCAACTCTTAAAAGTTTGAGTAAGCACTGAACGTTGATGTTAAGTGACATCAAGTTGCAGGGAACCTTTATTGAGAAAGCACCAAGATGACCCTGTAATAAATTGATTTTGTTTCTTTCATACTCCTCATGAAATTCTCTTAGGCAACAGAGGTCAAAGGTGGGATGTCCCCGAAGGGGGCTCTCTCCTTTGCTTACTGGCCTCCGAGCTCGGCTGCTATTCCTTTACATATAAAGGACTGCAGACTTCACGAACCCGGCTCCTCTCTTAAAGGAAACCCATCTCCCTCGAAGTCCTCGCGTGCAAGTTGTGGACTCCAGTATCCCCCACCCTCCAGCCCAATCCTCAAGGATCTGACAACAGCGCAGGCGCGGGAGGGACGGGCTCGGGGACCGCGGCGGAGGGTGCGGAGACAGCTTCCCCGCTGCAGGACGCCGGCACTCACCATGACAGGCTTTGCTGACATCCTGCGTCCTCTGTGGGCCTCCCTGCCGCGACTGTCACAGTAGACAGGGGCCGCAGTGATCTCCGATCCTGCTGAACCCGACGAGGCTACAGATCTAAGATGGCCGGGGACAGACAAAGGCCACAGCGGAGCAGTGAAGACCCGCCCTCCATGCTCATTCTCTATGTTTGATTGGGCAATTCTCAGCCAGGTGCATCCGATTGGATAACACTTCGGGCTTGGCTACGAGTGACAGTAGACAGAACCAATTCGTGCATGAATCAAGCAAAAATAAAAATAAATAAATAAGTAAAAAGCAAGTTCTTGCTCACAGATGTTGTCAATCAGGCAGGGCTGCCCCCAGTACTGACAATTGCGCTGGATCTTGAGCTGAAGGATTTATGGACTTACAGCTGAATATATATGTATTTATCTTATTCACAAATGAAAACCATATAGTGACAGTTTTAAGCTGTGTTTTTCCAACTCTAAGCTTTAAAATGAGAAGCATTCCTGTAAGGCAGCAATGTCCGATTCAAGCAACATGGTAGGCAGAATTAAAAAATTCGTTAATTAGTTAGGTTAGTATGCATCCTGACTTCTTCTGAAGGTTGTCGTTATACTGTGTTCTCATCATTCCCTGTTCTATTTTCTTTCCCATTTTTCTCCTTAGACTCACATATATGTATTCTGAGAAGTGTCAGCTTTATTTTTTAAAAAATATAAACATGTAAAATTGCAATAACAAAGGCATAATTTATTTCTCTTTATAGGAGAAAAAATTGAATAATGAGCCCCCACATGCATGCAAATAATTTTCGTTCTCTTTGTTTTTGTGTGCTATTTATGACCAAATTCCAAACTGTTGTGAAAAATCTTATAGGGAAGCAAATGACAATAAGAGAGATGTGCCAACCAACAAGAATGCACTTTGCTTTGCAAAAAAACCGCTGCCATACAAGAAGTATGTCTTGAAATATATTTTAGCTGGGCAAAGCAGTTTTGGATACCTGAAAACGAGATGTGTGGTGGTGGTGGTGGGCAAACCATGTATATGTTCATGGATATCATGAACAGCTAATTCATCCAAGCCCCTGGGACATATACATCTAAGTGCTGGCTACACATTATAACCCCCTAGGACTTCTTAAATATTCCAAATTTTAATTTCAATGAAATCAGAGTTGGGGGAGTAGGACCTTCCACCCCCACATGGACATTGTTTGGAACTTTCCAGGTGAGTAGTGTGTGAGGCTATTCCCAAACCACTGAGTGCAAGCATCCTCTGTACCCAGCTAGTTTCAAGTGTTTTCTTAAATTAAATATGAAAACGTTTGGTGATGAGTTGTGGCCTTTCACTTTGCCCATTAATCAACTACTATAATTTGCTCAACTCAACCACTGTTACTCACTTTGTTTCTGATTAAAAACAATTTTACAAATGTCAATTATACATAGTGGGTATATTTAAGGAGTGAACATTTTGCTTAAAAAAATAAGAAAAGAAAAACATGTCATTTAACAAATAAAAACAAAAATTGACATACATAGGGGCCCCTGCAGTGTTACAATATTAATAACTGACCCAAAGTATTAAAATCCATTCTATAAGGATAAAAGTTAACTATAAGGAAAAAACTTAAGCCATTGCACTTTATTTAGTGATTCTTTCCTTTTTGCAGGCTCTCTCTATGTAGCTTAGGCTGAGCTAAAAATCTATATCACAGCTGAGACTGCTCTTGAACTCACAATATTACCAGCACTATCCTGAATTTGAAGATAATGCAACACCACACACATATGTCCCCATATGTGAGACTAGACAGGATTCTTCTGTGATGCTAGGGGATAGAAAAATTTAATATTTTCATCATCTCTAGGATATTCTATGATCATTTCCAAGTATTTTTTATTATTCCCACAAAGTCAAAGTTATTCAAGCTTGTTTTTAATAAGGTTTCCCTCTTTTTTTTGTTTAAGATAGATTCTGAATTTTAATTCACAATACCCAAAGGAAGATACTAAACTTATGAATTAATTGGAAAATAGGCAAAATATATGGCATGCCATTATAGAAAATAATGAAATATTGATCCCTGCTGTAACACAGATGTCCCCAGAGAATATCCTGCTCTTTTTTGATGTAAACTGAAACTAGACCTCAAATGGTCTAGGATCCCTTTCCTAGGAACTTCAGGAAAGGGATGTCTGTGTATAGGAAAACTGGATTAGAGTTTGTCTGGGGTCTAGAATGAAGACATAGGAAGGAAGTGAAATCATAGCTAATGATGGCAGTGTGTTGCTCTGATTTCAGTGATGTGCTAAAATCAACTGTGGCTATCACTGCAATCATGAGAATTCATTAATGCTACCACAGTCTTGCCCAGATAAATGAGAACCCTAGAAACTGTCTGCATCATGTCCCAAGAAGCAGGCTCCTACAGAACCTTGTCAGGAATTTCCATGCAAATTTTCAACACATTAATAGTTTTGGTTTACAAAAAAATAATTTTTCTTTTGCTATTTTTTTATTATGTATCTGTAAGTATACACACATGTGTGTGGGTGTCTGAGAATACCAGAAAAGATTTTTGGATATGCTGTGGTTGTGGGTCATGGGAACTGAACCCTGGTACTCTGCATGGGAGGAAGTATTCTTAACCACTGAGCCATTTCTGTAGACCCTACTGTATTTTCTTACCCCTTTGAAAAAGGAATTTGTTTGCTGAAGTATACTTCAAAGTTCCCTGAAAATGTATTTTAGAAATCACCCACAATAAATTTCCTTTTGGTTCTGGCTGGGTGTATTTCTTAGTGTCAGGTCCAGAAGTGAAGGGAGAGAAGGGGGAGGGAAAGGGGAAGAAGGAGAGGGAGAAGAGGAAGAGGAGGAAGAGGAAAGAAGAAGAGGGGGATGAGGAAAGGAGGGAAGGAGGAAGAGAGAAAGAAATGAAAGATAAAGCAAGGAAGTGATCAGGGAGGGATAAATATAAGGAGGAAGGGTGGTAAGGAAGGGGATAGTGGTGAAGGGGGAGAGGAAAAGGAAAGAAAGGGAAGAAGGAAAGAAGGGAGGGATGGAGGGAAGAAACACAGAAGCAGGTAGGGTAAATGGAAAACAAAATCACACAGGTTTTTCTGGGTCACAGGTCTTCTTTGTAATCAGAGTAAGGCTGTTGTGGTCAAACATGTCTCAAGACAAAAGGAAGACAGATTGTGTCAACAAGATGAAGCCATCCTTAAATGCCAGTGTTTGTAAATCATAAAAGTCCAAAAAAGGCAAAGCATTTATGGTAATCCTTGGAGGACATCAGAGCCTGCTGGTCCAGCCTGGCCTGGGCTAGGTACCTTTTTATTTTGAACACTGTAACATCTACAAGTCACCACACAGTTGTGTCCCCACATTTAGAATTGTGAATTTTGCCCACTTTCTAATTTAGGATCTTCATAACTGTTTACGTTTCATTGTGACACACACAATCCTATGGAGAACAATGTGACAGCCCTCAAACAGCATTGGTGCCTGGAACAGAGTCAGAGGCACTGGCTAGAGATGTGGCATCTTGGAGCCTGCTGTGTGGCCTGTTGGCTCCCAGAGCCAGTCCCATAGTCAGAAGAAGCTGATGGCACTCTGTCCCTGCTCAGCCCTGGGCTGCCTCATTTTGCAGTATGCTTCTGATCCCTTCAGTTCAGTCCCTTTTCTGCTCAGTGACTCCAGACCAGTCTGTTTCCAATACTGGGCTGAGGAGAGAGTCTTGGAGACCCAGTGTCCTTATAAGACTAGCACATGAGAGGATCTGGGATTCTTAGTACCCTCACTATCTCCCTTCTCTTCAGTGAAGTGCAGTTTTACAGGAAGTTATGTCAGAAGTGCTCTGTCTTTCCAGTAAGATAGTAAATGGTGGCTTTTCCTGATGTTTGTAAACCTCCACTTCTTTCTTCCATATGGTATATGAAATGTGCACTTTCCCCTGAGGTGCTTAGAAGGGAGTTCCCCAACTGGCTCAGCTCAGGGATCTATACCATATTCACAGCAAGGACTTACCTTATCTGATTATAATTCTACATCATCTTGAGAAATACTCTATAAAATCACATACTAAGAAGAAGAGGAAGAGGAGGAGCAGGAGGAGGTGAGAAGAAGGAGGTGAGGAGGAAGAGTGGAGGAGAAGAAAAGAAGAGGAAGAGTAGGAAAAGGATGAAGAGGAGGAAAAGGATGAAGAGGAGGAGATGAGGAGGAAGATGATGAGGAGAAGATGAGGCAGAAGAGGAGGAAGAGAAGGAGGAGGAGGAAGAGGAGGAGGAAGAGAAAGGTTTCCTAGCAACATTTCAGATGTAACTTGAGAGCCACCAAAATCATCTACATAGCTAAGATTAGAACAACAGTATATGACTCTCCTTTAAGATGCTTGTACCTACATGTGGGTATGTCTTATTTTTTGTGACTCTTCTTTGATAAGCCCATTCCCATATGCCCATATCTGTTCTTTCTCCTGAGTGTCTCACCTAAACATCTACAAGGGAACAGGGTCACCAGTCTGTGCTTTTATAACACAGACTATGAAGCCGTACTCTGTCAGAATATCATACTAGGAATTCAAACTAGTGAATAAGTTAGAGGCCTACATTAAAATAACGTTATTGAACTCCATAATTTCTGCTCTATATACTGACTAGAATTAAAGTTCTTTTATGTGCCACAGGCATACATCCTGTTGTAACTGATGTCTCTAAAATGTTAGGGGAATTCTTCAGGAAGTGTGACAGTGTGGAGCTGTCTGTGTCCCTTCACCACAGACTTTTGTGTTATTTCCTAAGAGGAAAACCTGTTGTGTATTTGTGTTTTTATTGCTGTTTTGTTTTTTGATTTTGTATGTGTATGTGTCTAAATACATGTTAGTATCTATCAAAATTAACAAAGTTACGAATCAAATCTTTAAATTTTAGTGTTCATTCAGATAGCAGGGAATCTGGGAAGATGGAGGAAAAGCTACCCAAGGCTTTTCTCATAAACATATTTTATAAAAGACCAGAACAAAGGCAGTAAATCAATTCAAAGTTAATCTTGTCCCTCTGACAAAGTGGGGGGCCTTGTCTCTGAGACTCC